GGCGCTGGCGTAGGGGTTTAATCCAAAGTGTTTTTCCCGTGACATGTTATAGTGCGGTATTGGGTTTAGCACTGGGTTTTCGTCAAGCACGCTTGGAAGGACGATATATCGGTCGCTATAGGGTGTTATGGCGCTACAGTTCCACATTTGCTGCGGTAGGACTTTTGACCACAGCGTTCCATCATTTGCTTGTAGTGCGTAATAAATATAACGATCGGATGCATTACCCTATGATAGCTGGAGCATCGGGTGCCGTCGTATTGACAATGGCATCACAAATGGGAACCATTTCTCAAGGCGTGCTTGCTGGCTCCTTTATCGGGGTTCTGTACACAGCTGGTTGTTATGGCATGACGTACTATCACAAGCGTCGTTTGAAAATTTTTTTGTCTCAGCAGCAACTGCAACAAGTGCCTATTCACAGGGTATCGCCCGAGTTGCAGCCCATGTACAGGGCATACCTTTATGACAACAGGCCATTGGAGGAGGAAGATTTTCTCAAACGACAGGCCGTTTTCTTATCGTTAGGTGAAGAAGACGTGGGGTTGGACGCAAAACGCATAGTCAGCAACATGGTTCCCGAGATTGTGGAGTGGGTGAACTTCCCCGATTGGTGGCCGCTGAAGTTTCCTACACAGACAGAGGAGGAACGAATGATTCTTGAGCGGAAACGCCACGAAGAGGTAGAGCGGCGGAAACGCCTTATTTTGGAGTCGGAGGACGGTGCCTTGTTGAAGCGCGTCAACAGAGCCAAAAAGTACCGAGATACGTAGCGATGTCTGCGGGTTTGTGTAGGAAAGGAAGAAAGATTAACCGTCCAGGTGGAGTAGACGAGCGGCTGGTGTGAGTGAATGTATTTGGGGCGGCACGATGACTGCAAAAGGAAAACCTTTTCTTATGGGAATTCTTTTTTCCGCCCTCTTTTTTTTTTTTTTTTTTTTTTTTGAGGAAAAAAAAAAGGGAAAAGACAAAAGGAGCAGCAACGACTCTTTTTCTTTGTTGTTGTTGTTTCTTAGCTATTGGTGTACACATAGAAATAGATCAAATATATTCACAGAGAAGGTGAGAGAGAAGGGGGTGCAATTCCATTGATTGTTTTGTTTTTCCTCTGTCGTTTTAGGGGATGCCAACGTCTGGTTGTAAATTTCGTGTAGCGCTTCAGCGCTTAAATATTGAGAGGCTCCTCCCTCCTCCCTTGCGTGAGAAGAGAGGCAGCAATACAGTTGGCCGTATTAACAACCATAGCAGTGGTGTCGAGTTGTGTGAATCTGTCAATAAAGATTTTAAGGACGTTTGTTCCACTGTTGGGAATGGTGCTCGTGGGGTGTATTGCAATGGATTGCCCTTTCATGTGCGGTGGGACCGCATTCAAAGAAACCTGGCAGTTTTGGGGCGTGTTTCGAATGGGAGCACGGTGGTTCCTTATCGTGATAGTGCTGAGGCCTTTCGAGTCATGTGGAAGGCTGTGGATGAAGCCAAGCGAAGTGTTCTTTGGCAAACATACATTTGCAAGGATGATCGTATTGGCCAGATGACAGTAGAAAAAATAGCGGCTGCGCAGCGCCGTGGGTGCCAGAGCGAGTTGCTGTACGACTGCGGCGGAAACATCACGGGGCGACGTCGTCTCATTGACAAGCTCAAACAGTCTGGGGCTAATGTTATTGAACATCGCCCTGTTTTACATCATGTTTTGCCGTATTTGTTTGGGGGCATGAAGTGGGAGCGCAGCCCTGCCATCCGCAACCACCGCAAGATCCTCATTGTGGATGACAAAATTGGTTTTTGTGGTGGACTGAATATTGGCAATGAATACTGCGGTAGGAGCCAGGGCGGGACGGGTCGCTTTCGCGATACACATTGCTCGGTAGTGGGCCCGGCTGTGGCACACCTCCGTGAGGCGTACGAGGACACGAAGGCACCAAAGCCGTGGCAGTGGAGCTGGACACGTTGGCGAAAAATTGCGTCCACGACAATGGCTCGTCGCTACAAGCAAGGAAGAAACGCAACAGATGATCTTCTTGGACCCATGACAAAATCTGTGCAGCAAAGGGGAAAGTTGTACCTGCAACAACAAATGGAAAGGGCCGAGGAGAAGAGGGTAAGATTTATGGAACGCATTCGATGGAAGCGTCAGCGCGAGCGATTAGAGTTATTTATGCGGTGGTATCCAAAAAAAGCCGCGAGGTTGTTACCACAAAACTTGGTTCATGTTTACTCTGAAGATGGCACTAAATTTCCTACGGAACGTGCAGTGGACACCGGGGCATCAAAAGTTATGAAGCAAAGGATGGAGCACTATCGTATGCGTGCGCTTAACAGAGCCAAGGCGGCGTTGGAACGACGGTTAGCTGAAAGGCCACTGTCCAAAGCACCACTGAGTGATGCGGATCCTGTTCCTGGGGCGGAGGAATATGACAAGATACGGCCCAATGCTACTCAGATCATATGTTGCAACCCTCACACACGGGACTGGTCGATTCCGTATGCCTTTTGGCAGGTCTCTCAAAAGGCGCACCGACGATTGTGGGTAACAACCCCTTATTATCTGCCGCATCGAAAATTGTTGCGTGCTATTCTGTATGCTGCTCGTCGTGGTGTTGATGTACGCATTCTTGCTGGAAGTAATTGTACAACCGATCCTTGGTTTATGTGGCACGCGTCGAATTACATTACCGAACGACTTCTAGCCGCAGGCGTTCGTATCTATGAATACAAGGGGGATCAGATTATGCATGCCAAGACGGTGGTGGTTGACAGTATTTGGTGTTCCGTGGGAAGTTACAACTGGGATATGATGAGCAACAAGAACATGGAAGTCTGCCTCTGTCATTTGGGGTATGAGATGGCACGGGAGATGGAGGGCCATTTCCTTAAAGATCTGCAGACAAGCATTGAGGTAAAATATGAGGAGTATCAGCGTCGTTCCTTGTGGCTTCGATTTACTTCTTGGTTTTTTTATGTTGGGCTTCAAATTGCGGAGAAACTGACGTTCCGCACCTTTTGGGATGCAGACCTCTCTTCAAAGGTTGACGATCTGGACTAAACGTGCGGTGCGCCCTCTAACACCTTTCCTACACACACACACACACAACGATATCAATGGCACGCAACAACAGCCAATAAAATAAAAATGGATGGCTGAAAAATATGCACGAAAGTGTTTATTGTTGTTGTTTTGTATCTTTCAGATCTTTTTTTTTTTTTTTCTACCTTTTCTCTCCCTCTCTCTCTCTCTTTTTCCACTTAACTGGTTGGGTAATATTTCTTGGCTGCTTTTCGTTTTCCCTTGTTTTATGTTTTTGGTTTTTCCTTCTGTTTGTTCTTATGGAGAAGATGTGCCTTCGATTGTGGAGCCTCAGGAAGCCTGCAATGGACATGTGCATTGATGTATATATATCTATATATATATATACATGTATACATATTCAGACAACGGCTTCCTGTTGTTGCTGTTGATGTTCTTTCACGGCACTGTTCCACATGATTTTTGTTTGAATTGGTGAATGAAGAACGAACGGTTTTTTTTTTGTTTGTTTTTTTTCGTTTTGGGAGAAGGGGGGGAAAAGAAACAGGAAAGAAACGAAAACGAAAATTAAATAATAATAAATAAAAAAGAAGAACGAAATAAGAAGAGGTGCGAGACGGGCAATAAAAGTAAAAAAAAAAAAAGGGAGGGGGCAGTGGGGGGAGGGGCGGGCACAAAAATTAATTATTTTTTTTTTCCCCTTCTTTCCGTCATTTTATCCTTTTCCGTGACGATATTTATATATTTATTTATAGATATGACTTTGTGTGTGGAACGCAGCGAAATTTGTGCGTTTTTTGGGAACTGCGCCGGGTGTTATTTGGTGTTGGTGGTGCATTGAATGCCAGTCATCTTTTCTTTTTATTGTGTGTGTGTGTGTGTGCCAGGGCGGTGTGAGCCTGTCTTTTTTTTTTTTTTCTTCTTCTTCTTTCTGCCCTTTTTCTCTTTCTTGTGGCTGCGGTTGGTGTGCGCAGGTTTGAAAGACAAAAGGAAGAAATTGAGTCAACGGTGCCTCCTGACAGCGTCTTTGACTTTACTTTTTTATTTGTGTGTTTGTGTGTTGTTTTATTTTCCATTCTTTTTTAAATAAATAAATAAATAAAATTTTACTTTGGGTACTTATCATCACAATTACCGTTGGTCACTGCCACGGCGGCTGCAGCTTTGCATCGGGACAGTTGGCGTCTTTACTGAAATGAAAGGTGCCGGAGAAAAGGGCTTCCTCTCTCTTTTTTTGCGTGCAAGCGGTCATGGCGGGGCTGTGGACGACGTGTATCTGCTGCTACTGACGGCAACGACACGACTCACACGCGACCTTCGGGATCTCGTTTTCAGAGCGGGCATGTCGCCTGCACGTCGTGAGGCATGTGACAAACTTGTTGAGGACCTGAAAGATATTATCAAAGAAGTGGCAGCTGTTCCTGAAGACCGCGTCGTGGGGGCCACTGGCGAACTTAAGACTCTACACGTCTTTAGTCACGGCAGCTTCGTTATTGACACGGCCCTTTATGACTCGGCTGTTGACATTACGCTCGTAAAACAGGTACATCCCTCTATAGACTACTTTCTGCGAAGGAACGTTGGCAATAACGGTGCGCAGAAGTTAACACAAATAAAGGGGCTGTTAAGAGCTTCTATAGCGAACACGGAGGCCTCTATTCTTTTGCCGTATCCCTCATGCTATTCCTTGGCGCTGCCATTGATGCAGGAGCAAGACTTACTGATCAGCATCAGGGATGTTTTTGTCGGTCGACTGGGGCTGCAAATAAAGCAAAATGCCGCATTTTGTAGCAATAATGCACGCACACTTCGCTTAATTTCCCCGGCAAACCACATTGACGTGAATGTAACGGTTGACCGAACTGAAGCCGTAGAGGCATCGGCAGTACTGCAGGAACTACTGAACGCCAGCAAGTCAGCACACCCCGTTATTATTTTCATGAAGGTGATTCTAAAACAATTTAACGTTCAATCTTCACAACTCACCCCGTATGTCTTAACATTGATGGTTGTTGCCTTCTCTAAGTTTTGCTCTTACATGTCTCCGTTGTTCAGTTTTAATTATTACCCGCATCCACGCGAGACAGTTGAGCCAGGATATCTTTTGTTTTCCTTTCTTAGCTTCTTCAGTCCTCTTCCGCGGGGGCAATTTGACCCAACACAGATGTGTCTTGTCCCCATTCACCCGCACGGTGTTGTTTACGAGACGAACGAAGGGGATCATTTGTCGCAATTGGGTAAGAACGTTGGCGGTATTTATTGGCGTGTCATGGAGCCAACAAAGCGTGGTGACAACGCCGCCGCCTCGTGTGTATTGATTGATAAATGTCGTGACTTGTTTGAGCGTATTCTTGTCATTTTGCTTCACCACTACACTGGTGTTGTCTTTACTTGTCCAGTGTTTGTTGACGATGCCCATGCACAAATTGTAGGTGCAGAGGAAGTACCGAAGACGGAGAAGATTCCCATCGACAATCACCTCATATCTCTTTTGCTTCGGGATTGGTGGCTCAAGAAACAAAGTGAGTCCGTCTAGTCACTTACTCCTTCTTTTTTTTTTTTTTTTTTTTTTGGTTTTGATTTTTTTCTTCACACGGGCGTGGGTTTTCGGTGGAGCTGATCGGATAACGTGAACTGCTCTGCCTTCCATCTTACTTCTTTTCTTTTTTTTTTTTTTTTTGGCGAATTATAAGGCCGCTTTTATTTATTTATTTTCTTTAAGGGGTTTGACGCTGGGAGGCGACATGACAGCAGAGCACTGGGAAAGGGGAAAGAAGATCAGGGGCGCATGTACGGTGTTCCCGTTGCTTGGAGTGTTTGCCGAAAAGAAGTGCGAGCTAAGGCATGACTTTTGTGTGCGTGTGTGTGCCGTCACTTACGGCGATCATATAAGCGAGGGGCGTCTTTTTATTTATTTTTTTTTGTTGTTGTTGTTGTTTTTGTTGTTTTAAAAGTATTTTTTTCTTTTTGCCAATCTCCTGTTCCCACTCTCTACAGTCACACGCACTCTCTTTTTTCTCCCTCTCTTTGCGTGTGTGGGAATTAGGAAATAGAAGGCATGCGGAAAATTCGAGTGTGGAGTGCATTTTCTCACCGCGCATTCACCTTTGCTTTACGACGGCTTGACGTGGTGTCTGCGGCGTCCGCTCACTGTTTCTATCCAGCATGGCATGTTGCAAGGCGAGGATGCACCACAGGGAGTGAAGGGCATCCACTCCAATCATTGAAGGATGCCGACGCACCACAAACAACAACAACAACAACAAAAATGTCAGCAACAGCATCAACGAAGAGCAATGATATCGACTGGGACGACAACACTGTTGTGGAGGAAATTAGAAACATCTTAACTTTGGAGCTTTTACCAAGAAAAGGGTCTTGTGATGAAGGGGGTGACAATACCGTGCCTCTTTATGCGCTGTTTCGTGCACTGGGGCCGACTCTACGGTCGCAGCTGCAGAATTCCTCATTTGGGGCACTTTCCAAGGCAGTGAAAAGCAGGCCCGATTGGTTTATTATTAGTGCAGATGGCGCCAGAGTGGGACTCACAGACGCTGCGTACACATGCCGTGCGACCAATCACGATGCGATTGAGAGCAACAAGAAGGGCATTGATGGCCTTCGACGAGACAAAAGTTGTCGTGCGAGCACCGCCGCTTCAGGTGATGTCATGCAAACGCGTTGCCTCGAGAAGCGCGCGATCACGCGTTCAAAAAGTTATGTGTTGGTACGCGGATGCTTTGGATCGACCCCGCTGGATGTCTTAAAGCCACCTCTCACGTCCGCGGAGATTGAGGAGTGGAAACTTACTCGCATTCTTCTCCCTGTCACCCTGTATTTTCTTTTGGACAAGGAGCCGATAACGCTTTTTCCGTATGGTGAAAAGCCACGACGTTTGTCACCCGATCTGGAGGAAGCCGAGTCCCTTTATGTATCGAAGGGACTTTTTCCACCATCTGAAGTGGCAGCCGCATTTGTGCACATCACGCCCACGTTTTTTGTGGAAACTCGTCACGTTCTTGCTGCGATGTCTCCGGAAGTGGCTCAGTGCTTTGAAAGTCACATTTCGAAGGATCGCGTCGTGGATCTTTTCTTTAAAAAGTATCCCATGATATTCAAGCTTAAGACGGGCAAGTTTCAGAAGACGGCGGTGAAACTAAATCTGGATTTCAGTTTCATTCAGAATTACCCGGGGTGTGGGAAGGCGGATCGTTTATTGCGTCGCCACAATCAGGAGTACCGAGCGACAGTAGGCGGAGTTGTCTCGCGACAAATCCCCTCACCCTCACGTGAACAAGAGAAGCAGGGTCGTTCAGGAGAGTCTCATGTTGACGTGAAAATTTTTGAGATTCTTTTACGAAATTTGCCTCGGTTTCCGAGCGACAAATCACTTTCAGGGGCGGAGCTGGAGGAAAGACGTTGTGCGCCATTTTCCCTGGTGAAGTGGATTGACGGTTTCCCTCAGGAGGATCTGGACGTACTGAATAGTGTCCCACAGCGGCGGGTGCTAACATTACTAACGCGATACTCACATATCTTTCAGTTGGTGTGCCGAGGCGAGGATTCAAACCTGTTTGCGGAGCATATGTATCTGAATTCGTCAAAGAACTCCAACACACCACGACGCGCTCAACAGGACGATGGAACGAAGAATAGTTTTGCGCGGCCTTTGGATTCAACGTCCGTCTGCGAGTTAAATGAGATTCCTCACGCAAATGAATCTACTGTTGAGGAGGAGAAGGCGGATAAATTGGAGGCAGACACACCGCTTCCACCTGAAACCGAGATGAAACGACGGGAGGCAAACATAGCGGCGGCGCTACGAGATGACTTGATTGGTGTGGATGACATTCTCAGCTCTGATGCGGAATCGGTACCGACATTGACAGACGAGGGAGAGGATACGGAGCTGGGCGAGAAGTTAAATACCGATGAAGATGAGGTGTATTCCGCGGAGGGTGAATTCTTTGACGCGAACGAAGTTAAGGAGGAGGAGGAGGATGTTTTTGGTGACGAAACACAAAGGAATTTGGAGGAGCGTGGAGGAGATGGTTTTAAAAAGGATCCACCGCTCACGGACATGTCATACGCCGATGATGAATCTGACGGTCCTTATATCCCCTCTCAGTACGATATCATTTATGTCCGACGTCTTCCAAGAAGAATTGCGCCACGAAGTCTGAGTGACTACAATGCCGCCAATTCCCCGGAGCCAGAGTTACTGCAGCACATTGCCTCGTTTCTTAACCCACCCCCTTCCTTGCGGGAAGCAAAACAACAGATTATGCAGTCGAATAGAAAAGCACGCAAAGTCCCTCTTTTTACCAGCGGAAGTACTGTCGGCCCGTGGCGGTGGGTGCCGATTCAGCGCATTTACGCCTCCCTAAGTAAAGAGCAAAAACGTCTTTTGCGACCCTTTAAAGGACTTGTTCACTTCATGCGACTTCATGGTGAGATCTTTGAACTAAGCATGGACTTTTTGCATGTTATTGCCCATGATCCAGAGGGACAAATTGCGCCGTTTTTCCCAACACAACTGGTTTTCCATAGCGAGGATCGGGTGCTTCTTCCACAGAAATTTGATGATGATGAGAAATCAAAGGCGTCGTTGATAGCGGATTTGGAGCGAAATAAATTTAAGAGTATTTTGGGTGCCAGTCAAATTCCAACGGATCGTCCACAATTGTTACTGCTGGATCCATTGAATCCCGTACTTAATCATGAGATATTATGTGAGGAGGTTTCTCTTTTCATGCCGGATCACCCTGTTCCGCTTCATCAGTTGATTAATCGTCTACCACCAATTTTGAGGGCGGCACTTTCTTTGCGACACAAAAACAACTTTAAGACCAGTAAGCATCTAAAGGTGTGGAATGAGGGCAACCGCACGATGCTGCAAAAGAGTCAATTGGCCGTGCCGGAATCGGCTTTGATGGGCGAGGAAACTATTTCTGTAGAGGACGCTATTGAATCGGTACGTGAGGTGATACCAGATGAAGGTGTGATGATAGGACATCTGCACCGTATGCTTCCCTATGCAGCTAAAAAGACGTTAAATACACACTTTGGAAATGTCTACAACGCCATCCTTGGGTATCCACAGTACTTTTATATTGAGAAGGTGGAGGAAAACAGATCAAACAGCACGGTTTTTCTTGTTGAGCGTCTTCAGGAAGAGATACAATGTTGAGAGCCAAGTAAGAAACCTTTGTTTTTTGTTTTGGGTGTATGTGTTTTTCTACCTGAGGTGCGTTTATGCTCGCGAGAATGTCCTGTTGGAAAATGGAAGAGAAAAGGATGTTCACCTTGCGTGCTCTCCCCTTTTCTTTTTTTTTTTTTTTTTTTTTTTTCTCATTGATGTGCGGTTTTATTTTTGTGTTGTTGTTGTTGTTGTTGTTGTTGTTGTTGAAATACGAATCTTCACATTTATTTATTTTGTTGTTATTATTAAACTGGATTGGTTCCTGTCGTGGCGATATCTTTATTGCTTTGAGGGGCTGTAAAGATAAAATGAACGAGTATGTGTGAGAATCCGCGCGCTGGAGCCAAATTTGAGTTTTATCGCGTTTTTATCCTAACCCGTTTTTTTTTTTTTTTTTTTTTTTTTTCTTATATCCCTCTTGGCCTTTGCTTGGGGGTGAATGTGGGCGGGTATTTCTTTGCCTTTCACACTTCTTAGGGGCTTTGTGAAAGGAATATTCGTTTGATGGACAAGGTGCTCGATGAAGAGGTCGGCGTGCCGTACTTAACTCCCGGACAGGTCCCTTTGCAAGCAGCAGCAGTCTTACCTTTTTTAACGCCTCCGGCTGGGGCGCCGACCTTCCCTCGTTTGTACGCGGCATCACTGGGGGAGGAATACATCGATGCAGCGGAATGCGTTGAATATGCATCGTCCAATGACGCTGGATTTATGGTGAAA